TTTTTTTGGACGAAATGTTTTCGGACGATGAACCCAGTGAAGTTTTTCTTCTTTGAAAATCTCATAAGAGAGTGAAATTGATATAGACACAGAAAAGAAAGTATGCGCTACATTTTGGATATTGGCACTTTTGAAAAGAAAGCTTAATATAAATAACACCTGTCTCATTTTTGATTCAAAATGGTATATTGGTCATGTAAACTCTTTATCTCTCAATTTTTGACGAAAACGTATTACCATAATATAGTATTTGGAAGGTCGTCGTTCACTGTGTAGACTAGTATATTAGTAGCATTTTTATGGAGGCATGCTAAGAACTTTTTACTCGCCTTTCTCCCTCGATGTCTCTTAAACATTATTGATTGATGATGCTGTCCCCTATGTTTTAATCTAAAATCCTAGAATACTTGCAAAACCATAAAGTCTGCAACAGAAACTAAACGGTTATCGTTTTGTATCGAGGTGACTCAAAAAAATCTATGATATCGCCTGCCATTCATCATTGAAGCAAGATTTTAAATATTTCACAGGATCTTCCGTGCTTTCGATAGTGCATTGATTCAATCTTGAACAGAACTTACTAACACAGTAGTTGTGGACAGTGTGATGTAATTCCAGGCATGAATAACTTCCTCTTTTAGTTCGTGAGAACTTTTTTATGTTATCTTCGGTTGTAGTTAGTAGAGTCCTGCGGAAACGACTTTTGTGGAACTCACGTATATTTTCGAAGAAAATAGTGAGTGTAAGTTTTAAGTTCGAGATTTTGCGGCTCCCCCCCCCCCCTCCCCTTACAGACAGGCCCCCCTTACAGACCATAGCAACGAAAGAGAACATTACATACACATCCCCCCCCCCCCCTCTTACAGACCATAGCAACCAAAAAAGAACATTACATACGCATCCCCTCCCCCACCCCATTACAGACTGCAACAACCGTATTCATCAATTAGTCGATGGTGGAGAAAAATAACTTCAAATTAGAAAATAAAAAAAAAGATTATTATCGAGTATATAGCAATAATTATAAATGAAATCGAGCGCGCTTAAATGAAAAAAAAATATTTTCTTTTTTAATATATTTTTTTAATATACAAATAAATAATAAATTCCTGCTCTTTTCATCGATTCTCAAGGAAAACAACTATAGTTGATGAGAAGTCTTTCAGTATACAGATGATGCGTCAGGTAACAAAGTTAAAGGTATAAGTGAGTTCCACATTTCAGCTCCGCAGGAGCTGCGCTAACAAGCTTTTTTTCCATATTTTCCAGTCCCGCTTCTCGCGGGAATTAGAAGCAGGAATTCTCGTGGAGATTTCGGGACGGAAACACGGGAACGGGAAAGATATAAAAAATATGGATTCCCGAAAATCGCATTGTACTAATTCTATACACTCTGTGGTATGTTCGTGTACCTAACTTTTATTTTCAATGAGAAGTGTGGGTAGGGTATGGTTGTGGATGGGTGCGTGTGCGGCGGGCGTGGGTGTGGGTGTGGGTGAGTGTGAACACACCACGCTCCGACACCCACACCCACACACCCACACCCACACACCCACACCCACACACCCACACACCCACACCCACACACCCACACCCACACACCCACACCCACACACCCACACCCACAC